CTAACAGTGTCAGGCCTACCGCAAGAGCTTGGAGGAGTGGAGTTTTCTCCTAACTCCCCTGAGGAAGGAGATGTCTCGGCCATTTTGGACGTCTCCTTCCCTAGCTGGCTAAACAGCAGGCACTTTCCCAGCACTGTCGCTGCTGCACAGCCAAGGGACTCTCCAGTAGCCCTTATATGGGCATGATAGAGGGCTTGCCTGAGGGCATTTTTTTTTTTTTAATTTTTTTTAAAGACGGGGTTTCACCATGTTGGTCAGGCTGATCTTGAACTCCTGACCTCAAGTGATCTGCCCGCCTTGGCCTCCAAAGTGCTTGGATTACAGGCGTGAGCCACTGCACCCAGCCAAGGGTCATTTCTTTCACAATGTCACCCCAGGTTTACACTTCCGACCTTAGAGGCATTAGCAAAAGAATTAGGATCACCTATGTATAACTAAGATCACATATGAATGATAACTACTATGGTTATATTTCTAGTTACTTTCTTCTTCATTATTTATATGGAAATAGGCTGAGGCTTCTGGCTCCTGCCTCGGCACTTCCGGGATCACCCCCTACAGGAAGAGTGTACACGTGCTTCAGTGGGAGGTTAGGGCAAGTTCTTAAGGGCAGGATTTGTGGACAGCACCTGCTCACGTGCAAGGAACCATAGATAAGATAGAAATCTTAGCAGCATCCGGGAACCGGGTTTAATCAGAAGTAAGCCTGGTAGGACTAGGCATGATGGCTCACATCTGTAATAGCACTTTGGGAGGCCAGACAGGAAGGTCGCTTGAGCCCAGGCATTTGAGACCAGCCTGAGGAATATAACAAGACACTATCTCTACAAAAAAATTTTTTAGGCCAAGTGTGGTGGAAGATGCCTGTAATCCCAGCACTTTGGGAGGCTGAGGCGGGCCCCTCACTTGCGGCCAGGAGTTCAAGACTAGCCTGGCCAACGTAGAGAAACCCCATCTCCTCTAAAAAAAAAAAATTAAAAATTGCAAAAAATCTTAGCTGGGCATGGTGGTACGCGCCTGTAATCCCAGCTACTTGGGAGTCTGAGGCAGGAGAACCACGTGAACCTGGGAGACGGATGTTGCAGTGAGCCAAGATTGTGCCACTGCACTGCAGCCTGGACGACAGAACAAGACTGTCTCAAAAAAAATTTTTTTTTCTAGATTTTAGAACCCTCTATGTTACATTTTGTGAGATTATTAGTTATCTTTTCAGACATGTTCTAGATATGCACAAGCTGACTGGAGGTACAAAAATGTATTTTTGTAGTGTATACTCGTGTAAACAACATAAAAACTGAATCTGTTAAGATACTACAAACAGTTCTGAGATTAACTCCAAGTTCCACACACTTAAGGTCTGATGAGGTATCAAAGAGAAATTTTACCCAGACACTTCTTTGACATGGCAAGGAAGACTTTATTCAAGTCTACAGCAAAAGGGGAGTGGTTGAATTCTGAATGCAGGAGGGATGTCTGGGGGTTTTTGTCCACAGGCAGGGTGAGGGCGAGGACAGAAAACTACCAAAAGAAATATGGTTATCTATCAAGGACGGGTGAAAATGAACTGAACTGGATGTTAAGGGTTGGGGGAGGATTCTGCTAAACTGGCTTTAGCTTGCGTCTTGCTAAAAATGAGCTCAGTAGGCCAAGGATAGCAATAAGGCCTAGTCTAAAAGACAAGTGTGACTAAAGTTTGGTCATGGAATCTTTTTTAGAGGAATGCTCAAATGAACTTAGAAATGGACTCGATGGACAGGTGCAGTGGCTAACACCTTTGGTCCCAGCACTTTGGGAGGCTGAGATGAAAAGATCACTTAAGTCCAGGAGTTAGAGGCTGTAGTGAGCCATATTTTTACCACTACCCAGCCTGGTTACAGAATGAGACCCTCCCTCTATAAGAAAATTAAAAAGAAAGAAATGGACACAAATCTGGGAAAACTGGTCATTTTCCATATGACCAGTTTGTTTCTGTATGTCCACAAGACATTAATGAATGCATTCCACCAGACACAATTTTGATTTATATGCACAGGCATTATCTACATTACTCTCAAATATCTACAATTTAACTTTTATCTCCTAGGAGATGTAAAATTTCTTAGTAAATGAAAAATGAAAGCTGAAATGGTCTGGTTGGAGGAGCCAGTCAGGGCATCTGCTCAATTCTAAAGACTTTCACTGTCAGGCTTGGTGGCTCCTACCTGTAATCCCAGCACTTTGGGAGACCGAGGTGGGCAGATCGCCTGAGGTCAGGAGTTTGAGACCAGCCTGGCCAATGTAGTGAAACCTTGTCTGTACAAAAAATGCAAAAATTGGCTGGGCTGGTGGCGGGCGACTGTAATCATAGCTACTTGGGAGGCTAAAGGCAGGAGAATCGCCTGAACCTCGGAGGCGGAGGTTGCAGTGAGCCAAGATTGGGCCGCTGCACTCCAGCCTGGGCGACACTCCATCTCAAAAAAAAAAAAAAAAAACTTGCACAGACTGGGAGTGGGATTTACACCTCTATTCTCAGCACTTTGGAAGGCCAAGGTGGCCAGATCACTTGAGGTCAGGATTTCGAGACCAGTCTAGCCAACATGGCAAAACCTCGTCTCTATGAAAAATACAAAAATTAGCTGGATGTGGTGGCTCATGCCTGTAGTCCCAGCTGCTCGGGAGGCTGAGGCATGAAAATGGCTTGAGCTCAGAAGGCAAAGGTTGCAGTGAGCCAAGATCACGTACCACTGCACTCCAGCCTGGGCGACTGAGCCAGACTCTGTCTCATAAATAAATAAATACTTTCACAATTTTATACCTGCTGTGGCTCCAGAATAGACCTAACTAGAGAAGCCAGTGAACTCATTCCACGTTCAGCCAATTATACCAGCAGCTTAACAGAGCTACTCAGATATTTATATAATCCTATTTGAACAACAAAATACTCTGTGTACATCTCTAGTCGTACAATAATTGAACGAGGAACAAGCAATAGTTAGTCTCAGCCAACACCTTGATTTTATTATTTATTTTGAGATGGAGTTTTGCTGTTGTTTCCCAGGCTGGAGTGCAATGGTGCTGTCTGAGCTCACCGCAACCTCCGCCTCCCAAGTTCAAGTGATTGTCCTACCACAGCCTCCTGAGTAGGTGGGATTGGCTAATTTTGTATTTTTAGTAGAGACGAGGTTTCTCCATGTTGGTCAGGCTGTTCTCGGACTCCTGACCTCAGGTGATGGCCCTGCCTCAGCTTCCCAAAGCGCCTGGCAACACCTTGATTTTAGTAGGGAATCAAGGACTGCAGAAAATGTGAACTAATAAATGGGTGTGGCTTAGACTGCTGGGCTTGTGATAATTTGCTAGGCAGAAATAGAAAACCAACACATAGGTGGGTAGAGAAGCCACTGGACCAGAAGATTCTCAGCATTCTATTTTCTGACATGAGCTGCCTAATATATAAAAAATTTTATTTTAATCAATTATGTCTATTTATTTATTTATTTTTTAAGAGACAAGGTTTCACTCTGTCACCCAGGCTGGAGTGCAGTGGTGCAATCACAGCTCACTACAGCCTTGGACTCCTGGTCTCAAGCAGTCCTCCCACCTGGATCCCAAGGAGCTGGGACTACAGGTATATGCCACTACGTCCAACTAATTTTTGAAAAAAATTTTTTTAGAAGGCCAGGCACAGTGGCTCACGCCTATAATCCTAGCAGGCAGGTGGATCACCTGAGGCCATGAGATCTTGACCAGCCCTGGCCAACATGGTGAAACCCCATCTCTGCTAAAAATACAAAAACTAGCCAGGCATGGTGGCATGTGCCTGTAATCCCAGCTATCCGGGAGACCGAGGCAGGAGAATCGCTGGAACTCAGGAGGCAGAGGCTGCAGTGAGCCAAGATCATGCCACTGCACTTTAGCCTGGGCGACAGAGAAGACTCCATCTCAAAATAAACAAATAATAAAATAAAATATTTTTTGTAGAGACAGAGTTTCACCATGTCACTCAGGCTGGTCTCAAACTCCTGGGCTCAAGCCTTCCTCCCATCTCGGCCTGCCAAAGCACTGGAATTACAGTCATGAGCGACCATGCCCAGTCAACAGCCTATTTCTTGTTGCCTAGGCTGTAGGGCAGTGGCATGATCACGGCTCACTGCAGCCTCGAATTCCTGAGTTCAAGTTGATCCTCCCGCCTCGGCCTCCCAACGTGCTGAGATAACAGGCACTGCGCCCATCCTGTTGGTGTTTTACTGTCATCCCTCGTATCCATGGGGGCTGGGTTCCAGGACCTCCCATGGATACCAGAATCCACAGATGCTCAAGTCCCTGATACATGTTGTATTTGCATATAAATTATGTATATATTCCATCATACTTTAAATATCTCTGGATTACTTATGATGCCTAATGCAGTGTAAATGCTCTGTAAATGATTGTTATACTTTATTTTTTAGGAAATGCTTAATAACAAGAAAAAATGTACGTGATCATAAATGAATTTTTTTTCTGAACATTTTCTTTTTTTTTTTTTGAGACAGTGTCTCGGTTTGTCACCCAGGTTAGAGTGCAGTGGTGCGATCTCAGTTCACTGAAATCCCTGCTTCCTGGGTTCAAGCAATTCTTCTGCATCAGCCTCCTGAGTAGCTGGGACCACAGGTGCGTGCCACCATACCTGGCTAATTTTTATATTTTTAGTAGAGACAGGGTTTTACCATGTTGGCCAGGCTGGTCTCAAAATCCTTACCTCAAGTGATTCACCCGCCTTGGCCTCCCAAAGTGCTGGAATTATAGGTGTGAGCCACTGCACCTGGCCTTTTTTTTTTTTTTAAGACAGATTCTCACTGTGTCACCAGGCTGGAGTGCAGTGGTGCAATCTCAGCTTACAGCAACCTCCACCTCTTGGGTTCAAGTGATTCTCATGCCTTAGACTCCCAAGTAGGTGGAAATACAGGTATGCACCACCATGCCCAGCTAATTTTTGTATTTTTAGTAGAGATGGACTTTTGCTATGTTGGCCAGGCGGTCTTGAACTCCTGGCCTCAAGTAGTCTTCCCATCTTGACCTCCTAAAGTGTTGGGATTACAGGTGTGCACCATCGTTCTTGGCCCTTTTTTCTTGACCATCTTCCAAGTGATGTTGGTGGAAATCACCGATGGGGACCTATGCATGCAGAGGGCTGATTGTAATTGAGTTCTTTCTGCCTCCTCACTAATCTACACACTGTAGGCAGGGACCTGGTCTCATCCATGCCTGCATCTGCAAGCACTGCCCACTTACACCAAAGTCTCCCCATTGGTCAGCTTAGTTCCGTGAAGGAACTCCATTTCCACAGCAAGGACTGACCTCACACTGGTGGCTCCAGGTCACTGCCCAAACATTCTGAAGGGAACAGAACTTCTTGGTTCCCCAGATAAATATAGGGCAAATGCTGGACTGTAGCTAAGTATTTCCTTCATCCATAGGATAAAATACTGACAATTTGTGAGTGATGGACAAGGTTCAGAGTGGTTTCCTCTTTTTCTTTTTGTTTTTAATGGAATGCCCACTTCATTTAGGCTTGCTGTATGCAGATGGACTCCATCCAGCTGGAAACATAACAGGCTTACCAGGTAGCTTCAACCATTGGTTTTACTTGACTCAGGAGAACTGAAAAGCTGTTTCAGGGGAAATTTAAAAAGAGTAATTATAATTCACCTCAAAAAGTTTTCTTTTCAAGGCAATAAACAGTCACAACCACCCAGAAACATAACCAAAGACCCCAAAGTGTTCTTTCGTAACACCCAATTATCTGGGATTCAAGGGGCTGCCTCCAGATCGATGGGTGAGTCATTGAATTTCTCATTCAGTAAAGTGAGATTCATAGCCTGGAGTCCTTTTGTCTGCTATGTGAATGTGTACTATGTGCTTGCTGGTAGAAAGATCCATAAAATATAGTATAATTAGGTAAACATTTGCTTGGAAATTAGATCTTACACTCTTCACTCTCTGTTAGGTTGTGCTTTCTCTTTAGGGATTGTCATTTTCTTCTCCTTCATTTCACTTTAATTAGCACACACAAAACCCTTGATCCCATCCTGATTACATATATGTGTTTGTTTGACTTGAATTGTAATTTGATGGATGTTTTGGTGAATCATAAGATGAAAGCCACTTCCCCTTCAGCTGTCAACACAGCGGGTGTTGTCATACAGAGTCAGGGACCCAGTGTCTCTACAGAGCAGACCCAGGATGGGAGGTAAACTTGAGTCAGGGATTGTTGGGAATGAAAACTATATTTGTTCACATAGGCTGTGAGATCTAACTTCAGTATTTTCTAAAATTAAGAATGCTAGTCTGAGCAACATGGCGAAACCCCATCTCTTCAACAACACACAAAAAAATAGGCGGATATAGTGGCACATGCCTGTGGTGCCAGCTACTTGGGAGGCTGAGGCAGAATAGCTTGAACCCGGGAGGCAGAAGTTGCAGTGAGCTGTGATCATGCACTGCACTCCAGCCTGGGTGACAGAGCAAGACTCTGTCAAAAAGAAAGAAAGAGAGAAAGAAAGAAAGAAGCTATTTTTAAAAGTGTTTCTTGTTTTGAATTCTATCCTCCTCTGTAAGGATAAGTATGTTAACTGAAAGACAGCTAAAATGAAAATTTTTGAGCACTTCTTTTCTTTCCATTTTTTAGCAATAATTCAGCATAGACCTGCTCTTGTTAAAGTAATTTTAATTTCGAGTATAGCCTTCAGCATTGCCCTGATATGTGGGATGGCAATATCCTGTATGATATAGTAAGTATCTGCTTAATAACATCTACTATCCTTAAATAAGACATAACAAGTCAACTGACGATTATTTAGTGTCAAAGGATGATGATGATATTTCTTATAATTGCTAAATTATTATGTGAATACAAATTTCCAAATTAGTGTTTTTCAAAATGTGGATTGTACTCATGTTGGGTCGTGATACACATTAAAAAAAAAAAAAAAAGAAACAGGACAGAATACAATTCAGCAGAATAGAAAATATCAGAAAACATAAATTATTAATGTAAAAGGCTGATGTTTAAACTTTTCAAACACACATGTGAGACAGGCACACACACAGACACACAGTTGTGAAATATACTTCTTACTGGGAGTCGTTCAAAAATGTTTGAAAGACACAGTTTGAGACGCTGGCATCCTCCCAAAAATTCAGTATTTTATTTTATTTTACTTTTTATATTTTACTAGAGACTGGGTTTTGCCATGTTGCCAGGCTGGCCTTGAGCTCCTGGCCTCAGGTAATCCACCCGCTTTGGTCTCTCAAAATGCTGTGATTACGGGTGTAAGCCATCATTCCCAGCCCCCCGAACATGGCCTCCCAAAGTGCTGGGATTATGGGTGTAAGCCACCATTCCCCCAGAATTCGGTATTTTAAAATGAACTTGAGGCCAGGTGCTGTGGCTCACGTCTGTAATACCAGTACTCTGAGAGACCTGAGGTTAGGAGTTTGAGACCAGCCTGGCCAATGTGGTGAAACCCCGTCTCTACTAAAAATACAGAAATTAGGCCGGGCGCGGTGGCTCAAGCCTGTAATCCCAGCACTTTGGGAGGCCGAGGCGGGTGGATCACGAGGTCAAGAGATCGAGACCATCCTTGTCAACATGGTGAAACCCCGTCTCTACTAAAAATAAAAAAAATTAGCTGGGCATGGTGGTGCGTGCCTGTAATCCCAGCTACTCAGGAGGCTGAGGCAGGAGAATTGCCTGAACCCAGGAGACGGAGGTTGCGGTGAGCCGAGATCGCGCCATTGCACTCCAGCCTGGGTAACAAGAGTGAAAACTCCGTCTCAAAAAAAAAAAAAAAAAAAAATACAGAAATTAGCTGGTTGTGGTGGCGGACGCCTGTAATCTCAGCTACTCAGGAGGCTGAGACAGGAGAATTGCTTGAACCCAGAAGGTGGAGGTTACAGTGGACAGAAATCGCGCCATTGCACTCCAGCCTGGGCGACGAGCAAAAACTCTGTCTCAAATAAATGAAAATAAAATGAACTTGCTACTTTGAAAGGAATCTCAACAGTACACCGCAGAAAAGAGCGATCACACTCTGTTTTACTAGAAATGTGTCAGTGCAGTCTGGGGTGATAGCAGCTTTGGGGGAAGATACATCACCGTCTTCACAAATAAAGCTTTAGGTCAAGCTCTTTCAAGTGATATAATCGTTTTGAAATTCACAGTAGAAAAGGGTGTGACATACTGTGACCTCATGCTGTTCTGACCAAACCAACAGACTCTGACTCCTACTTTATGATTCCATGCTAGGATTCCATTCTATCCCACCAGAAACAGCTTGAGAAGTACATGATTGCTGGCTTCATTAGAATTAAGTATGAAAACAGGAGACATATTGCCATGTGTGGGATATTTTTTTGGGTAGCTATGTTAAGACCACCTTAGAGTAGGTCACATGAAGGCAAAGTGAGATTAAAGGTAACGGGAAAAATTTTGATAATGAGAGCGTAACCTGTGTGCTTGCTTGTGGGTTATCTCCACTACATCGACTTAATTTATGTAACTGTATAGGCCAGAGGCAGTGGCTCACACCCGTAGTCCCAACACTTTGGGAGGCCAAGGCGGGGGTGGAACCCTTAAGCCCAGGTATTTGAGATCAGCCTGAGCAACATGGTGAAACCGTGTCTGTACAAAAAAATACAAAAATTAGCCAGATGTGGTGGCATGCACCTGTAGGTCCCAGCTACTCAAGGGGCTGAGGTGGGAGGATGGCTTGAGCCCAGGAGGTGGGGGTTGCAGTGATCTGAGATCGTGCGACTGCACTCTAGCCTGGGAGACAGAGCAAGACCCTGTCTCAAAAAAAAAAAAATTATGTTACTGTAGCTTCTGTATAATTTCATTATTATAGACAAAAATATTAATAAATATAAAGTTTTCTAAGACAACTCAGTAAAACATATCTCCTGGACACTCAGTGTTCAATTGAGTTGTTGAGCTAGTCAATTCTTACTGTTTTCACATTCGTATTAGCACTAAGCTATAGTAAAGCCTGAGGCCAAAACCAAAACCAAAAAAAACCCCACCTGTTCAGAAGTAAAGTTTTATGTAATTTTTAGTGATTCATTTTTTCCAGAAGTAGATTTTGAAAGAAACCCCGTCTCTACTAAAAATGCAAAAAATTAGTCAGGTGTGGTGGCGTGCACCTGTAATCCCAGCTACTTGGGAGCCTGAGGCAGAAGAATCGCTTGCACCCGGGAGGCGGAGGCTACAGTGAGCCAAGATCATGCCACAGCACTCCAGCCTGGGCAACAAGAGTGAGACTCCATCTCAAAGAAAGAAAGAGAGATGATTTGTCTTGATTATGGATTTTTTGTCAACATCTTAAGTTTTGAACCCAATCTGAGTGCCTTGTTCACTTCTAGTCCTGGCTTTGATCCATGCTTTGGGATGATCAAAGTTACTCCTTACTACAGGAAATGGCCTGACCATATAGACATTTGAGATCTGACCATGATTAGTGCAGTTTCAAAGTCTTATTTCTGCACCCACCCCGCAAGCAACTCCTTTCCAGTCAAAATGTGGCATGATTAAGAAATGAATTATTCACCATGAAAACTGTGCTTCTAAATTAATTTACCATTCTCCAGTCAACTCGCACAGGCTGAGGAAAGACAGCGGCTTGAGTCACTTTATAAGAACATCAAGATACCATTATTAGGAGACAAAGAAGAGGGCTCAGAGAACGAGGATGAGTCTATGCACCTACTTCCAGAGAATGAAAAGGAGCTGGAGAAGTTCATCCACTCAGGTAGAGTGACCTGTCACAGCCACTCACAGGAAAGCCAGGCTGGCCGCAGTGGCTTGGTTTTCAAAGGGAAAGATAAATGGGAGTTAAGACAGTTTGAAGTAAAGGAGACAAATATTCACAGCCACACTTACAGACATGAACCTTTCTCATCAAATCATACAGATGGGTAAACAGCTGTGGGGTTGCTCAGCTCCTTTTGCAGGGCAATTCCATGGATCTAACAGAGTTCAGGAAACAAACTTTTCCCAGCACAAAACATTTCCCTTAAACATACTCATTAACCGTGATGTTATCCTGCATTCAGAACACAGGCAGATGTTTCACCTGCACCATCTGTCTCCATCTGATGTGAAAATAGGATCCAGACCCACAAAATAGAGGCCACTACCCCAGGGTAAAAGTTCCCAGCATGCCATGCCTACCACAGACATGTTCTGTTGTCCTTGTGAGAAGAGGGTGACGTTGCTCATTTAAAATGGATTTTTTTTTGAGATGGAGCTTCGCTCTTGTTACCCAGGCTGGAGTGCAATGGCGTGATCTCAGCTCACCGCAACCTCCGCCTCCTGGGTTCAGGCAATTCTCCTGCGTAGCTGGGATTACAGGCACACGCCACCATGCCCAGCTAATTTTTTGTATTTTTAGTAGAGACGGGGTTTCACCATGTTGACCTGGATGGTCTCGATCTCTTGACCTCGTGATCCACCCACCTTGGCCTCCCAAAGTGCTGGGATTACAGGCGTGAGCCACCGTGCCCGGCAAAAAAATGGATTTTTTTTTTAAGACAGAGTCTCGCTGTGTCACCCAGGCTGAAGTGCAATGGTGCAATTTTGACTTACCACAACCTCTGCCTTCTGAGTTCAAGTAATTCTCATGCCTCAGCTTCCCTGGTAGCCGGGACTACAGGCGTGTGCCACCACGTCCAGCTAATTATTTATATTTTTAGTAGAGACAGGTTTTCGCCGTGTTGGCCAGGCTGGTCTCAAACTCCTGACCTCTGGTGATCCACCTGCCTCAGCCACCCGAGATGCTGGGATTACAGGCGTGAACCACCCACCTCGCCTGGCCTTAAAACTGATTTTATAGCAGTTCTTTTTGTTTGTTTGTTTATTTTTATTTTGTGTGTGTGTGTGTGTGTGTGTGTGTGTGTGTGTGTGTGTGTGTGTGTTTGAAACGGAGTCTCCCTATGTTGCCCAGGTTAGAGTGCAGTGGCAAAATCTCAGTTCACTGCAACCTCCAACTCCTGGGTTCAGGTGATTCTCCTGCCTGAGACTCCCGAGAAGCTGGGATGACAGGCATGTGCCATGACGCCGGGCTAATTTTTGTATTTGTAGTAGACATGGGATTTGCCAGTTAGCTAGGCTGGTCTTGAACACCTGACCTCAACTGATGCACCCACCTCAGCCTCCCAAAGTGTTAGGATTACAGGTGTGAACCACTGCTCCCGGTCTTTTTTTTTTTTTTTTTTTTTTCTGACAGGCTTTCAATGTCACCCTGGCTAGCTGGCAAATGCGTGATCTTGGTTCACTGCAGCCTCAACTTCCTGGGCTTAGTCAATCCTCCCACCTCAGCCTCCTCAGTTGCTGGGACTACAGGTGCACATCACTGATACCTGGCTAATTTTTTTTTTTTTTTTTTGAGATGGATTCTCACTTTCTTGCCCAGGCTGGAGTGCAGTGGCGCATTCTTGGTTCCCTGCAACCTCTGCCTCCTGGGTTCAAGCGATTCTCGTGCCTCAGCCCCCCCAGTAGCTGGGATTACAGGCATGCACCACCACATCTGGCTCAGTTTTGTATTTTTACTAGAGACGGGGTCTCACCATGTTGGCCAGGCTGGTCTTGAACTCTTGACCTCAAGTGATCCACCTGCCTCAGCCTCCCAAAATGTTGGGATTACAGGTGTGAGCCACTGCACCCAGGTAATTTTTGTGTTTTTGGTAGAGACGGTTTTCACCATGTTGCCCAGGTTGGTCTTGAACTCCTGACCTCAAGTGATCCGCCTGCCTCGGCCTCCCAAAGTAATAGAATTACAGTTTCAAGCCACTGCGTCCAGCTAATTTTTATATTTTTGGTAGAGACGGTTTTCGCCATGTTGCCCAGGTTGGTCTCAAAATCCTTGGCTCAAGAGATCTTCCTGTCTTGACCTCCCAAAGTGCTGGGATTACAGTTGTCAACCACTGAGCCCTGCCTAGAAGTTCTGAGATTCTTGGATAACTTTAAAAAAATCTAGAGAGAAACCTATGGAGAGTTCAGTATGTGATTCAGTCCTACTAACCATCCCTCAAATGAACTTTCTCTCTAAAAACTCCAGACATAACACTTTGGGAGGCTGTGGCAAGCAGATCACGAGGTCAGGAGTTCAAGACCAGCCTGAACAACATGATAAAACCCCATCTCTACTAAAAATACAAAAAAAAATTAGCTAGGCATGGTGGCACTTGCCTATAATCCCAGCTACTCAGGAGGCTGAGGCAGGAGAATCACTTGAACCCAGCAGGCAGAGGTTGCAGTCAGCTGAGATTGCACCACTGCACTCCAGCCTGGGTGACAGAGTGAGACTCCATCTCAAAAAAAAAAAAAAAAAAAAAAATCCAAAAACTCCAGACATAACCAGAAGGAGGCAGAATGGCCAGAGCAGGAGAGATCACTGATGCTCACTGAGACAGACAGCTTTGTCATAACCTGTAGAAAATATTTTTCCAGGCCAGGCATGGTGGCTCACGCCTGTAAAATCCCAATACTTTGAGAGGCCGAGGCAGTTGGATCACTTGAGGTCAGGAGTTCAAGACCAACCTGGGATACATGGTGAAAACCGTCTCTACCAAAAATACAAAAATTAGCTGGGCGCGCTGGCTCACACCTGTAATCCCAACACTTTGGGAGGCCAATGTGGGCGGATCACTTGAGGTCATGAGTTCAAGACCAGTCTAGCCAACATGGTGAGACCCCGTCTCTAGTAAAAATATGAAACTGAGCCAGATGTGGTGGCACGTGCCTGTAATCCCAGCTACTGGAGTGACTGAGGCAGAAGAATTGCTTGAACCCAGGAGGCAGAGGTTGCAGGGAACTGTGATGGCGCCACTGCACTGCAGCTTGGGCAACAGAGTGAGACTCCGTGTCAAAAAAAAAAAAAAAATTAGCCGGGCATAGTGATGTGCACCTGTAGTCCCAGCAACTGAGGAGTTTGAGGTGGGAGGATTGACTGAGCCCAGGAAGTTGAGGCTGCAGTGAACCAAGATCACACCTCTGCACTGCAGCAGATCACGAGGTCAAGAGATCGAGACCATCCTGGCCAACATGGTGAAACCTCTACTAAAAATATAAAAATTAGCCAGGTGTTTTGGCAGACACCTCTAGTCCCAGCTACTCGGGAGGCTGAGGCAGGAGAATCACTTGAACCCAGAAGGCGGAGGTTGCAGTGACACTGAACTCCAGCCTGGCAACAGAGTGAGATACTGTCTCAAAAAAAAAAAAGGG